GAGGGAGAGGGAGAGAGAAACGGTGATGTGAGTGCTGCCTCCTGCACGCCCCCTATTGGGGGTGGCACCTGCAACCTGGGCATGTGCCCTGACCGGGAATCGAACCAGCCACCTTGGAATCATCGTTCAACTGACTGAGCCGCACCGGCCGGGCAATCCACATTTTTAAAAATACGTTGTGTTTTCAGTATTATTCAGTTTTCAGTGTTTTGCAATTTCTCTTATAACGTACAAAAATGAATTCCAGGTAGATTAGTGTCCTAACTGTGATTAGTGAACCTAACGTCATTTATGTAAAATTTAAAATAATGTAAAACAATGATATCTACACGTGCACACACCTTATGTGAATCACATGAAACAATAGTTTAAAAACACGCCCAGGGAGACCAGCACCAGCTTTGGGAGAACAGCCACTCAGAGGCGGGGGAGGGGGGGCGCTCTGGGACCCACACTGAGGAGGCGGCGGCGTGGCCACGCTTTCACGTCTCGGGAGGGGAGTGGGAACTTGGGGGTGCTCACCAGGCTACTCTATGCACGGCTTGTGCATCAAATATTTCATAATAGCCATAGCCCATGTGGCTCAGTGGACAGAGCGTCGGCCTGCTGACCAAAGGGTCCCGGGTTCGATTCTGGTCAAGGACACGTACCTCCTCGGTTGCAGGCAACTCCCTGGCCCGGGCCCCAGGTCAGGATGTGTGCAGGAGGCAACCAATGGAGTGTCTCTCTCACCTCGATGTTTCTCTCTGTCTTTCCCTCTCTCTCCCACTCTCCCTAAAACCAATGGGAAAGCATCCTCGGGTGAGGATTAACCATGTTTTATCATAAGAGTGTAAAGGTGTGAAAAGGGTGACTCCGTGGACAGTGCCAGGAAAGGAGCATCGTGGAAAGGAGAGGAGGGGAGCACCGAGAGGGCCGCAGGCCCCCCAGGCAGGAGGCACCCTGGGCAGGGCTGAGCCAGCTGAGTCCCCCTCGCGGTCCCTGGGGACAGTGATTTCCCGCCTGGTGCTTTCCTTCTGGTACTTTCTATTCCCAAAGAGAAAACCCTTCAAAACCTCAGCTTCCACAAGCACGCCGGCTCCCGCTGAGTCACCCGCTCGCCCACTGGGCCACTCCCCAGGCCTCCACGACTGAGCTCTGGCCTCTCACTCCCCGTGACCCACACGCCATGGCCTGGCAGCTGCTGCACAGCCCCTCCGACGGGCAGCTCCTGCCTGGGCTCCGCCACCTCCTGACCGCTCTCCTGCTTCCTTGGCATCTCCTACCTGCTCTGCTCCCAGCCCAGCCGCCAAGCCGCCCTTTTAAGCCCTGCGTTCATCCTCCCATGAGCAGGCTCCTCTCCCACCCCCCTCACTGCCCTCCGCCCCTGTGAGCGGCTCCTGCCCCTCCCTGGCGGCCCTCCCCGCTCGCCCTGCCCAGCACTCGGGCTCCTTGCTGCGGGGTCTGGGCCTGCGTGGCACGCTCCTGCCTCCGTGGTACCTGCTGCTCCCCTGCCAGGAACGTCCCACAGTCGCTGTCTCCCCGTGTGCGTGTGCTCCTTCCCTCACCGCCTTCGGGCTTTCCCCTCCACCGCCACCCGCCTTCCGAACAGACTCCTTTCAGAGAGGAGGGGCGAGGGAGGGAGGGGAACGTCAATGATGAGAGTCATTCATCCGCTGCCTCCTGCCCGCCCCCCCCCCTGCCCCGGGGCGCCAACACGAACCCCGGGCCTGTGCCCTGACTGGGAACGGAAGCCTGACCTCCTGGTTCATAGGTCAATGGTCAGCCACTGAGCCACGGCCACGTTCTTCGCAGCCGCCCCTGCCCTCAGCTCGGCCTCACTGCCTTTCCTTCTCCCGCGCCCGGTCGCCTCCCAGCACCCGGTCTCACTGGTTTTGCTTTTGTCCGTCTCCCTGTGCTGGAATATACTCTCCATGAGGCGGGGATTTTAATATTTTGTTTTATCGCCAACATACAAGTGTCCAGAGCAGTGCCCGACGCAGAGAAGATGCCGCTGGTGGCTTTGGGGATTCCTGTTCCCCACCGTTCTTGGGGATGTAAGGAGTGGGGGCGGGAGGCCCGGTCCCTGATGCCATGTGCTCACACTGGCACCCTGGTGCAGCCCTGGCAATGGCCATCCGCTGGGCTGGGCTCTGAGCCCCAGCCATGCAGGGAACCAGCCCTGTGCCCAGCCCCAGCCCCAGCCCCAGCCGTGGGATCCCGCCAGGCCTCGCTGTGGCGTCCCTGCTGCCTCGGGGACAGAAACCATTTGGTGGCTCCCAGGCCACGACAGGGCTTAGCGCCTCCAGCCTCCTATGCCCGCCGCCTGCCAAGGAGCTCCCGTCACTCCTCTCACGGGGCTCCTCTCTCTGCTCCGCCCGCTCGGCTCTCGCTCCCACAGCTCCCCGGGGAGTCTGTTGCCTCCCTGGGCTCAGGTTTGCCTGGAGAAGCAGGCACCCCTTGGCGTCTTTCCCATGGTTCCAGGGCTCGTGTCCGCCAGGCTCTCCCTGCCCCCAGGCTGCAGGCCACTCCGTGCACCAGGAGGCTAAGCTGTGGGCCCCCTTGGCCCTAAGGGGCAGGGCCTTTGAAATCTGGCACAAGGGGGCGCTGCTTCGCTCTGCACTGCGCGGTCACATTCTCTTTGCTGAGCAGAGAACAACCTGGTGCTTTAATGGGAAGAAGGGGATGGAGAGGGAGAGGCTTGGGCGGGGCGTGGCGGCTGCAAAATAGTTTAAAGCCACAGCTGCGCCATTTGATGGTATAGCGACAGCCACAGCAGAGCGGGCACTGACCTGTCCCCACATAGGGGCGCCCGTCCTCTCCGGGGCCCTGCCTGGCCTCCCTCAGCACCAACCACTCGTGGCTCCTGCTCCGCTGGTCCCCATGAGCGCGCTGATGCCCAGTGAGAGGAAGGTGGAAGGCTTTGCTCGCCGCACTGCACATGGTGGACCTGAGCTTGTGCCGAGGGGTGCAGGAGCCTCACCTCCTGGGCTCTCCCAGCACCCGGGAGCCCCCCAATGGGGCCACGAACTGGGGCCAGCCAACACCCCCCCCACCCCTCTGGCCTGTGGTCCGCAGGAGCAGGGCTGATCTCATCCTTCCCCACCACCTGAGTGCCATGGCTTGTCTCCCTGGGAGGCCCATGCCAGCCTCTCTGCAAACCTGGCTCCCTCCCTGCTTCTGCGAGCCCATCTCATCTCCTGAGGACTCTCTCTCTCTCTCTCTTTCTCTCTCTCTCTCTCCTCTGTGTCTCTTGGTTTGGCTTTACAAACAACATACATTTAGCTGGAAGCCGTACCACAAAAGGGAAGAAGCGATGCATGCAAGCAGCACACAGAGCCCTGGGTCTGTGCCCTGTCCCTGGCATGGGGCTTGGCGGGAGGGAACCAGGACCTGCAGGCTCGGTTTGTGGGCCCGCAGGCTGCCTTCCTGACCAGCAGGCCTGGGGCGGGGCCAGCCTCCCGGACGCTCCCCTGACAGCCCTGCCCTTGCCCATGTGAGTGATGCCCGTGGCCTTGGGCAGGACTCTCGGCTCCAGCAGCTTCTGTGCAGGGACGACGCTTCGGATAAGTAAACCACGTACCCAGTCAGGTGTCCGCCCAGCTGTGTGCTCGTGGATAGAGCATCGCCCTCGGACTGAAGAGTCCTGGGTTCGATTCCAGTCAAGGGCATGCACCTGGGTTGCAGGTTCCCCGGCCCTGGTCAACCAATCCATGTGTCTCTCACATCGATATTTCTCTCTGCCTCTCTTCCTCTCTTCCACTCTCGCTAAAATCAATGGAATAAAGATCCTTGGGTGAGGATTAACCAAAAAAGTAAATAAATAAAATAAAAATAAAATATCAGATATCTGCCATTCACATCCTAGTATGGCTTACAAAACCTGGTAGCTCAGATCAAGGTTCCCAGGGCAGTGATTTCAATGGCAGTGGGAGGAGGAGCTGGCTGTGGGACCTTGTACTGCCAGTTGTGGGGGCTGGGTGAGGGCTGGGGGCTGAGTGAGGGCTGGGTGAGGGCTGGGGGCTGGGTGAGGGCTGGGTGAGGGCTGGGTGAGGGCTG